ATTATCTTCGTTAGAAACTACTCCTTGATAAAAAAACCATGTTCAAAACTTCGAGAAATCGATCGTAGATTTGCATTCCTCGGTCTCGAAAACCTTCAGTGAAACTTTGTAAAAAAATGGTTGTATGCTTAAAATGCCTTTTTTGCGAAAACTGTAAAAAGATAGCCAAACCAATATCATCAATACCAATACATGTCAAAATCAACACTTGTCACTACCAATACTACTAAATACTAGTAGCATTCTATACCAATCTCTCAACACTGTATGGGTATTGTGACATATCTACTGATGAACAAAATCTAATAAAACCTAATTGTTAAGTGTCGAGCGAATTATTAACGTGTAACATAAAAGAATTGAGTATTAGCTGTTGATCTCTGTTTTTCCTGATATTCAAGTATGATTAATGCTATTTAACATTTGTTTGTATGCAGCCGAGCTAATAGCAAACCCTCCTGTCTAATCAATACCATCAGATAGCCTTGAAAACTTCAAGCGATCATCCCTAGACAGTCCTTAACCAGTTATAAGGATTACCCTACATTAAAAGGTGTCATGCTGAACATATTTAGTGCTCTAGATTTGTATTCTATTTTCTACGTATATACAGTTCCGGCTCACGATGATGAGCGCTCATATGAGCATGACCGTTTCTTCTCAGCCTGAGTATGTGACATACCAATAACAATCAATCCAGTTTTGCCTGTGCTCTCATTAAAATGTATTCTGATGTCTCATATTGCCTCTCACTTCATGAAGCCAGTGTAATCTAAGAACTTCACGAAGATTAGTGTTTTCTGGAACAATGACTATAACTAACATCAGAAGTTGAAGAAGCGAAAGCATGCCCATTCATGATTCTTTCTTGAATTTTTTGGATGGAAAAATAACGGCGAAGCACTTTTCTTCATTCGACTTGATTAGGCTAGATATTTCGGAAGTTTCTAGGGCTTATTTTTTCGGGACTTTTTGGGGCTTTTTGATAAATCCCTGTAATTACTTCTGTGTTGGAACTCACACAAGTTTTTAAATAAAACCCGAGATTCATTTCTCTTTAGTTCTTATTCGAGTTTCTAGACAGATCTCGGGATTCATTGGAGTTTTTGGATAGATTTCGGTGATTATTTCTGTGTTGGGATATATCGGAACTTTTTTATAAATCCCATAACTTTTTCCCTGTCGAGACTTACAGGAGTGTTTAAATAGAGTCCGTTATTCATCTGGATCTACCCACTTTTCCCACTAATCTCCGATAAACAGAGAAATTATATATCTCATTTCTATTACAAATGCCTTCGGCAAATAATGTTTTGTACACAATGAAACAAAAATACTTTGCCTATGCAATTAGCAAAGTCTCGCTTGAGGATAGATGTGTGACGTGTTGGGATAAACACTTAGTGGCCTCAGCTGATTCGATTGACGAGGAATTACTAATCGAGAAAGCAAATCTTAACGTATTCAGGAAGGCTCGATCTCAGTGAGATATCTACGAAGATCTAAACGATTCGTTGACCATATATCGATAATCGAAAATGCAGTTTGGTGGCTTGCTTCCATCCTGTGCTCTTCCTCAATTCCCTACTTTAATGTTGAAGAAGTATTGCTGCTACAAGAGTTTCCAGGGACATTTTGTTTCCCATAATAATACATAAGGAAAAAATAAAGACAGTATCTCATCCAGATATGAAAATCACATATAACAGAAAGAAAAATTCAAAGTAAACGAGCATGCAGGCTTTCCTTTGATCCTTCCCAGGTTATATTTGTGATAACCGCATATTTTCATCAAAATCGCGTTCGTATTTCTTCTGCTATTTCTTTTCTCTCTTTCCTTTCTGCTTGTTTTCTTTTTCTGCTTTTTCTTACCATCTTGCCCTCCCCCTGTCATCAGAATACACTTTCTTATGTTTCTTTCTACATTTGCCAACCATCTCTTCTACGGTAGAAGTTCTACCGTATTCTTCATACTCTTTCGTATATTTGTAATGATACGATCCACGAGATCATAACGAAAACAAAATAAAAAAAATTGATCCTACTTTGAATAGAATATATCCAATCGAAGACATCATACTCGCTCAATGTAAGGTATAAATAAAATATTCCAGAACTTTTAAAATATCCAAAAATTCCAAACAAATAAGTCCCGATAATCCTTCAAAAAACTCTTCGCTTTTCCTAAAATCCGTATGTTGTTCAAAACCTCGTTCTTCAATATACAATAACACTTTTCACTAAACAAACCTTTAGAAGAAGGCGATATTTTCCATTAAAAACATTTCTTCAGTAAAAAACTGTTTTTATGAAACAAAATGATTTGTCCGATGAAATTTTTTTTTTAATTGAAACAAACTCGAAATTTTGAGAAACCGGCTTCAAATTCGAATTCCTGGACCTCGATTACGTTCAGTTAAGCCTTATAAGAAAATCATTATTTTCTCAAAAGTCTTTCCTTAGTGAGACAAGTCATGTTCTTTGATAAAAAATGGACATACAATAATATTTTCTTCACGTAAATCACTTTATCAATTAATATTAGTGAATTAAGTATCAAAAAGAAAAACTTAACACTTATGGTTACGTGACTACTTTTAACTTATTTGTAAATAAATGTAAATAATTCACATCTAATTTTTAGAGTTTAAAAGATTTTGAGAGATTTTAGAGATTCTGAATGACAAAATTTGCTTTTTTTCCCTGGAAAAAAATGTCATATGTATTATACAATAATTAGCAAATCAAAGATAGCATATAACTTATCAAACATTGCATAACATAATGCCTATCATAAGTGACAACATAATCGTTATCATTATTTTAATTGTAATTTTTTATTTTCTGTTTAATATGACCTTTTATTCGCATTCAAGTTTATTATGGTTACTGGCCTTATTCTAGCTGATGTTATTGATTGAATCGATATACAAGAAATGTACAGATATGTATATTCAATATAAAATAAATCGCCTAGTAATCAAAATGAATTATATAGTACAGCAGTAGATATGCATGCACACATATTGACTGACATAAATAATATGTTAATTCGAATTTTTGCTTAATCTTCTACATCAATAAATTTTGAATTTTTATTAAATTTTTCATGTCATTAAGAATAAATTCATTAAAATTAAGTATTTTAAGAAAAAGATGTTATTCAATATCCATTTTTTTGTTGCTATCAGTCTTTAACAATAATTGATGTCTTGTGTGAAGATTTACTTTTCGTTGATTATTTGGAAGAAGACAAATGAGCTTCATTGTGATAATCAATGTATTGTAAAAACAAAAGAGAACCAATAAATATATACATAAATAACAACAAGCAAAGAGATACATACATCCAAATGCATGCATACATTTGGCATATAGTGTCGATTGGACTTGTAAAGCAGGAGGTTATACAGAAAGAGTTGAACATTTGGTGGAAGATCAAGCGAGTCGTAACGATGAATGCTACTTGTCTTTAGTTGTTAAAAAAAAACAGATGAAAAAAATTAAAAACACTCAGATTGGTCGCCAAGAAAAAATTGTACCAACCGGTAAGTGAACGAATTCTATACTGAAGCAAACTGTACTGGACGTTTACCATTATCGGGTGCAACTCTGACCAAATGACTTCTAGTGAAACTGATATCATTTGATAGGAAACTTAATTCTTCATCTGACACATCCATTTTAAAAGCCAGCACCCATCATAGAACAAATACAGAGTAGAAACGGTTAAGGTTTGCTATTGGAACACGGTCAAAAATTCAGCGCTTACCTCCAAACGTTCCTTTTTTGCGCTACGATCCTTTTTTAAATTACCAGCGCTCGATAGAGAATTAAAGTTTGCGCTTAGCACAAGCGACTAAAAATCCAACACAAGTGGCAGAAGAAGTTCGGACAAAAATAGGTCGAACATGGTAGTAACTTTACTTTCATCTATCTACTAATTAATATTTTATCATAAAAAGTATTATCAACAAAAATAACTGTCTTGAGAATAGTTAACATTAAACAAATAGTTTTTTATTAGAACAGCAATCGATTTTCTGATCTCACGAAATAAATTAAAAACAAGCCTGAACCAAAGTTCGCTACTATCAACGTGAACTTAAACGCATTGCATTGATAGTGGCGGACTTCGTTGCACATGTTTTTTGCTTCACTGTGGGACTCCATTTCCTCTCAGAATCCTTATCATTTTTTGCCGTGTTATTGTATTGCCAAATAAATTTGATTCGTTGAAATTTTACTCAATAGAATAATATTAACTCCATGGTTTATAGTTTATTTTATTGAGAATAATATTATCAAACATTATTATTTCGTACTGTTATGAAATTGATTCATGTCACATTCTCACATGATTATTTCCTTTCTTTTTTCAAAACTATTAAGCTTCAAAAACAAAACAAAAAATTATTGAGGAAATAATATTATCAACTGAGCAAGTATTGATTTATTATATGGAATAAATGGAAAACGGAAGTCTCGTAAATTTAAAGATTTTTTTATTTAATTCCATTTATTTGATATGCTGGTAATGAAAATATATTGCAACAAATAATGCTTGACATTATAGTCGAAATCTCATATATGAAAAGAATGATTATCAAAATCTAGTTTTTTTCAAGATCTCCTACAATAAATTCATGATTGTTGTTATTCGATTAGTCGATATTGAAATGTTCATTTAATAACAAGTTTTAAAATAATGTAAACTGATTTTGCTAAAAGCTTGAGAACAACCTTTAAAACTTTTAATGAATAATAAATTTTCAGATAACATTTCTTGCAAATATCGTTACATGTCTCTATCACATAATGAAAGTTAAATTGCTTTTTAAGATCTCTTCTGAAGAATAATTATTATTTAACATTATTTTTATTTTTCTAAAATATTCACGATGTGAATAGTGTCAACATAATTGCATTTCTTAGATTTAGATTTTTTTTAGATTATTAGAAAAGAAAAAAAAACCATTTCCAAAATGTCTGACGATGACATGGGTGATACTGATGATTATGATAATGATTATGACAATGAAAATGAAGAGCCCGATAATGATCTGGAAAATCAATATTATTATTCCGAAGCATTAAATGAAGATGATCCAGATGCTGCTCTTGAAAGTTTTAAAAATGTTCTTGCATTAGAAAAAAAACTTGGTACAAAAGGTGACTGGGGCTTTAAATCACTTGAACAAATAGTGAAAATTTATCTGAAAAAGAAAAATTTTAATATAATGTTAACAAATTATAAAGAATTGTAAGTTTAAATTCTACAAAAGTTACAAATTTTGAATGTTTTCATATTATAAATGAAAAAAATTGACTTGTTAGCAAAACATATGGATAAACATGAAACGTTAAAAGTTCGAAGCATAATTTTCCATCAATGGTATTTATTAAATTTTAGATATATATTAATGATTATAGACTTTTTTTTTAAATTATACTAAATAACTTTCTCTCGAATTACAATTTTGTATTACCAGTAGAGTTTGATTAAAGATTAAATTAGCAAAGATTTATAAGAGTTTATGTTTATTGGTCTTCTTTTAGAACTTAGAAACATTGCACTGACATTCTAGTCTATACAAAATATTTAGCAAAAAACAGAACAAAATGCAACATTTCGAATTGGAGATCCTAGTATAGATAAGTCCGCGAGAAAACTTTATTTTTTTTCTTCGTTCATTATCATTTCATGTTGATGTATTCTCTTGCTTATCATATACTATAGACTGATATGAATTGATCATATATCAACTATTATATTCTTCTACTCTTTTTGTATCTATATTGAATGTCTTAGAATTTGATGCTAATTTCTGTGTACAATCGCTATATTATGTCAAATATATTGATTTTTATATATCATTACAAACTTGTTTTTCATTTTTACATTCAAGCTCATTTAGCATAGTTATTATATGCTGCGTATACGCAATACTATATAGTAATTTATTTCGTTATACAATTTTATGTTACACTTTCTTTCATACATTATTATTAGAACACGACTTGACTCGTCATGGTGCTTATAGTAGCTACCCATCCTGTATTACTGTTAACTGACTAGATGTTCCACTACATAAGAATATCTTTGTTGAAAAATTAATTATGTTAGATTTATCTTTGACAACATCTTTCGAGTTGCAGCTGAGTTATTCATTATTCGCTTGATTAGATAAACTTTGTTCTTTAATATTTGACTCATCTTGTTGTTAATCCTTTCGCTCCAAAGCATTCTCGTCTCTTTTTTACTCATAGAATCAACATAGCTTACCTAAATGGGCCACAACAAGCTAAAACTAATTTTCGTGACTCATGGTCATGATTACGGCTAGTGATCAAAATAATTTGGTCACGTCAGACACTAGCTGTAACACAGCAAGATCGGTTCTCTATACATATCATCATTAGTTATTTCAATGTGTTTTTTTGTATCAACTATTTTCACCGAAAATATAAATTCCACTCTGGTAGTGCGTATGCTACCTTTAGTTTTCCTGCTTCATTAATTTAATTTCCTTTGTTGTATGTTCTACTGTTACATGTTATTAGATATTCTGACCTATGTTATGTTTTTCTATGCAATAGCAGGTTATAACTAATCATTCATCATATTACAATAAAACGTGATGCAAAGATATGTTAAACTCGAAATTTTATTTCATTTAACTAGAGTAAAATCGTAGAAAGACAAAGACTCTTGAATTTTCTCTCTAAAGTTATAACTACTTTGATGAATTTTCAGTATCTGGACAAGAGATTGGCAAAGACGTCTAATGATTTAATTTCGATCTCAAATTTTTTGAAAAAGATACATCTAATGGTACTTAGATAATCCTGAAATCTTGAGTCAAAATGAATGCTTTCATCTCAACATATTGAACTTCACGAAAAACTCAATTTTCTTGATGTTCTTATGAAATATGAGCAGTACTTAAACATTGAATACTTCAAGGGAGCCTTTTTTAATCAAACTTTCACGATTTTCTATAGGGCATTAGGCGTATATCGCGACAGAACTCCATAAATAAATTCGATCATTAGAGATGCCACCATTAATAAGTTGCTCAAATAATGAGGCATACTTATGGACAAAAAAAAATCAGTTCAATTGGTGTTTATTAATTGGAGAATTTCCCTTATAAGATAAGCAGTTCTATGACAAGATGCTGAATGCTCAAAGAAACGTTTGAAAATCATTTTATTCTTCACATTAAATATCTTTAGAAAGAATTTTTCAGGATATTCTAACGACAGTGAAATTTCTAAACAAAATCCCAAAATGTCATTTTCGTATAATTCTTATCTGTATAGTAGAATCTTCATAACTCCGTGCTCTGATAGAATTTTACTTTTGCTGATAATACAGATTTATATATCGTTCTCTAGTGACGTTATGTTCCTCCTATAAAAGACATTGTTCTCTCATTTGATGATAACAGTTATCCGCTTACGAGAAAAATCATCTGAACTGATACCCGCCATTTGAGCTCATATTTAATCGACAAGGACGTCTTGGTGAGACTAGCAAAAGTATAGAAGAATTCGTCATGATTATTAACTCTGAGAAACAATAAGTTGAAAGTGGCGCCAAAAATGGCGCAACATTCGATGAATCGCACTTCAGCCTTGTTTATAGCCGAGTGATGATCATTTTACTGAATTTTCGACTTAGCTTTAGGTATATGGTGAAAAACAAAAAAAGCACAGGATTACGACGTGAACTTTGACCCATAGAGAAGCCGCATGATACGAAAAATATCCGGAAAGAATTTTTTTTTCAAGATGAATTTTCAAGTAAACTCGATTTTTATATCATGGTTATGGCAAAAGATTAGTTTTTGAGAATTCAGTATCTCGACAAAAGAAAACACTTTTCGGCTTGAATTTGTAGAATATTCTACAAGCTACTTTGCCTGTCTTTAAACAATATTTCAGATCGAAATTTAGTTACACAACCATGAATCGGCTCCAACGGCTCATGGAGACAAACCATTTTACTTTTTTTCTACTTTTACTGAGATCTTCTAGTGGACACAAAATTAGCTCAAACGATGAATAACAGTGTGCGTAATTTATTCACTAGTAAAACTCGACTGCATACTTGGAACTGATGATTTTTTTTTATCGATCGGTTCGGTTCTGAGTACGTTCGACTCTATCTTACATTCTCATCTTCGAGCTAGTTATATAAAAAATAGTTGAATTAGGATGTTTCTTTTGTTGTTTAAATTTATAATGCGCATTAACATTTGTTTATGAAAGTTACCGAGAATTTTTCAATATAGGTTCTTTTTTATTTTGAAATTGTAAAAATATTGATAACTTTTGTTGCCAGATTGACATATATAAAATCAGCTGTTACACGAAATGAAAGTGAAAAAACGATCAATGCCATTATTGATCAAATATCAACATCAGAAAAAATGGATTTAATAGAAAATTTTTATGAAATAACATTAGATTCATTAAAAGAAGCAAAAAATAATCGTCTATGGTTTAAAATATACCTTAAATTAGGTAAATTATATGATGAACAACAAGATTATAATAAATTACAAAAAATTATTAAAGAATTATATAAAGCTTGTGAAATATCAGAAGGTTAACTTTTTTTTTTGTTAATTGTTTTATTTAAAAAAATAAAATCATATGAAATTTTAAGGTACTGATAATCAACATCGAGGTACACAATTATTAGAAATCTATGCATTAGAAATTCAAATGCATACATCACAAAAAAATAATAAAAAACTTAAACAATTATATGAAGCTTCGTTACATATTAGATCAGCTATTCCTCATCCACTTATTATGGGTTTGTTTATTTGTTTACCTTTTGTCTTCGTTCAATTTTAATTGAAAAATAATATTTTAGGTGTTATACGAGAATGTGGAGGTAAAATGCATTTACGTGAACAAGAATATGAAAAAAGTCATACAGACTTTTTTGAAGCTTTTAAAAATTATGATGAATCAGGTTCACCACGTCGTATAACATGTTTAAAATATCTTGTTCTTGCTAATATGCTTATGCGTTCAACAATAAATCCTTTCGATTCTCAAGAAGCTAAACCATATAAAGATAATCCTGATATTCAAGCTATGACAAATCTTATTGGTGCTTATCAAAATAATAATATAAAAGAATTCGAAACAATTTTACATAAAAATCGACAAACAATTATGGATGATCCATTTATTCGTGAACATATTGAAATACTCTTACGTTCAATACGTACGAAAGTTTTAATTAAATTAATAAAACCATATACTAAAATACGCATTCAATTTATTGCACAAGAGTTAAATATTGACATCGAAGAAGTTATAAATTTATTAATATCTTGTATACTTGATCAAACCGTACTAGGTAAAATCGATCAAGTTAATCACGTACTTGAACTTGATCAACAACAAAATATTCAAGGTTTACATCGTTATCAGGCTATTTCAAAAGTTGCTTCACAATTACAAACTGTTCAACAAACAATTCTTCAGCAATTTAAGTGAACTCTTTTCTTTTTATAGATATAAGTTTTCTGTTTCTTTTTTATTTAAATCAAGAAAAATATTGTCATATGTTTTGATTTGCAAAATTTAATACATTTTCAAACTTGTTTTTGTTCTTTTCTTTCAATTACGACAGAAAGTAAACCAAGATGCGGTTTCGTTGTTTTCTTACTTACTTTTTCTTCGAGAACAAAATCTAGTAGCTTCTTATATACCTATTGATTATTCTAACAATTTCAAAAACATTTATATGACAAATAATAATAAAAAATATACTCATGATGATACTCAACTTTTTATTTGACTGCGTCATTTATTAACAGATAAAGAACTAAGATACATATTTTTTTTTCATAACGAATTTGAGTACGTTTCATTATCAGACATTTACATAAAGACTTGCAACAGCTGTTTTCTTATTTTTCCTCATTGACTTTTTTTCAAAGCATTATCTTTTCACAAAAGCAAAAGACAAAAAAGACGCTATGTCATCAAAACAAAACTTTCCATCGCTCTCTGTAGATAGATGATGTGATCATCCAACTAATTCTTAAGTACATCTAGTGTTTGTTCCGTTGTATTCAATTTAATATAAGAAGACATAGTGGAACGATTGTTTTTCTTTTGATGAAATTTCTCTCTTACCTTCTCATTTCATTTTTTACAAAGAAATACTGTGATATAAACTGTGTTGACATGGTTAGATGCGTGTCGGACTGCATACTTAAATTAAAAAGAAAAGAAGAGAAAAAAAATAACGCAAAAGAAAAAATTTTTGGTAATGCTTTTTTTTTAATTTTTTTATCGTCATTCTTTCTATTGTATCGTTTGACACTGGTCAGAAAACAGATCTCTATAATGACTGATAATTCTACGAGCGAAAATGAAATATTACCAAATGATAAATCGGATTTTTCTCATCTTCATGATTGGCAACATACTATGAAGGTTAGCATCATTTTATTTTTCAATCCTATTGATGTGTAGAAATCAAAATTTTGAATTGAATATATTATTCATATTTTTTATCAGCGTAGGCATTAACAAAATACCAGTTACTTATTTTAACCTATTGCTAATTTATTTTTATTCATGCGTGCTCGTCATTATAAATAGTATCAGATAGGCGTAATAATGTAGTATTGAAAAAAAAAAACTTCTTACATCCATTTTCGTTCGATAAAAGGTCTATCAATAATTGTTCATATCTACCATTGGTAAGTACGTATTAGAAATATGAATAAGTGTCATTTTCATCAATTTGAACCAATCATTAAGCACAACATAAGTATGTTTTTATTCGATGCAGTAAGACCTTGCGAGTGCAATTCTATATGCGTTATTTATTTCTTTCCCGTTCTGTCGCACATGTGTAGCAACGTTATATTGTAGAAATATATTGACTGGACACATTTGTGGGTCATAAGTCATGCAATACAAAAAAATAAATACAATTGTTTTCTTTCCGTTGTTTAAGCATATAAATAATCTGAATAACATACGAAAATGCAATGTATGAAATAATATAATAAAAAACTTGTTTTTTTTTCTTTTACGTATTTATTTAGATGCATCTACGTGGTAGACTGAAAGATGAACTGAAACAAAATGATCCAAGAAGTCGTGTATTTTATCAACATCAAGCATTTGCTGAAACAGCTGTGAATGCTCTTGAACAACGTACATTACTTGATGTTGATTCTGAACCGTAAATAAAATGAATTTTTAAATCATTTTTTGTGTATGTATGTTAATTTAGATGGAACACTCGTCATACGAGCATAATTTGTACATTAGGTATATATAAATAATTTATAAATTCCAGAAAAAAATATCCGAAAATTTTAGGACCTGCATCAGAGAGTGTCCCAATGCTCCTTAAAATGATTCAAGCTGGAATGAATATCGCACGACTTAATTTCTCACATGGTTCACATGAAGTAGAAAAAGAAAAATTTTTATTTAGAATATTCATGTTTTTGTTTAGTATCATCAAACAAGTGTAGATAATGTTCGTGCTGCTGAAAGACTTACTCTAGAAAACGGCAGAATGAGAACTGTTGCTATTGCATTAGATACAAAAGGTCCAGAAATTCGAACAGGTGTACTTGCTGATGTAAGACAACACATTGATTAAAAGGATATTTAAAAAAAGAAAACATTCAAATCATTTAGGGAGTTAATAGTGAACTTAATTTACAAATCGGAATGACTGTTCGTTTAACAACAGATGAATCATTTGCAGATAAATCTACAATTGATAATTTATATGTTGATTATAAAAATATACCTCATGTTGTAAAAACTGGTAATCGCGTCTTTATTGATGATGGCCTTATTTCATTAGTGGCTAAAAAAATTGGTTAGTAAATTTATTTAATCTTATTTCTCGGGTCGATATGGTGTTGGTGTTTTCTTTTTATTTAAGGAGAAAATTATATTGAATGTGAAGTTGAAAATGGTGGACTATTAAGTAGTCGTAAAGGTGTAAATTTACCAGGTGTTCCCATTGATTTACCAGCTGTGTCAGAAAAAGATAAACAAGATCTTGAATTTGCTGTGAAAAATGATGTAAGAAAATAAAAAATAGATTTAATATATCGAATTGTACTTATTTATTTTATTATAGTTGGATATTATCTTTGCAAGTTTTGTTCGTGATGTTGAATGTGTTCGTGAAATACGTAAAGTACTCGGTGAAAAAGGAAAAAATATGAGAATTATTGCTAAAATTGAAAATCATCAAGGAATTCAAAAGTTAAAAAAAATAATAAATGTTTCATTAAATAAATAAGCCTTTTCTTTTGTTTTTAATAATTAGTTTTGACACTATACTTGAAGAAGTTGATGGTATTATGGTTGCACGTGGTGATATGGGTATTGAAATTCCGCCACAAAAAGTATTTGTTGCACAAAAAATGATGATTGCCAAATGTAATCTAGCTGGTAAACCTGTTATTTGTGCTACGCAAGTAAATTTATATATACATATTTTTTTTATATTAAAAAAATTGATTTATATATGTATTTTTTATTAGATGTTAGACAGTATGATTAAAAATCCTCGTCCAACTCGTGCTGAAGTTAGTGATGTTGCTAATGCTGTTTTGGATAATGCTGATTGTATTATGTTATCTGGTGAAACAGCAAAAGGAAAATATCCCGTACAATGTATTCAATTAATGCATGAAGTTTGTAGAAAAAATTTTTTTTATTAAAGAATAGAGCTCAACAAAATTTTACTGATTAAACATTTGAGATAGATGAGAATGAGAGTAAGACTAAAAAAAGAACATAAACTGATTTACCTAATGTTTAAGATCCTCGAGATGTAACAACTCTATGCATATATACACTTTCTTCATTATTGGATATTGAAGATTAGGAGTGTCTAGATTTTGTTTTTGAACATTCTGTTTACAAAGAATAAGCACGCATCATGAAGTCTGGTTTATAGCATTGTTTTATATGCCGAGATATTTATACAATTTGGTCTATATTTTTATATAAGACTGCTATGTATTCCAATTTCTAGTGAACGGAAACTCAGAAGAAAGTTCTCTGTTCTCTGAAATCGGAACTTGTGATGCGTTAAACTCTCGAAAATTCGGAAACACCTTTCCAAATCATCAGAAAAGAATCCAATAAGATATATTTTTTCTAACAATCTTGATACTAATTAACCTGTATATGAATTTATGATGTTATTTCGGATCAAGAAACACAATTCTCATAAAAAAACTAAATGAATGTATTAAGGAACTAACTTAATGCTTGATTTGTCTAGTGTTTCAAGTAGATATGATCAAGATTCTCGTTTCTGAACGTTACATTCTCAACGAACGAAAATACATCTTGAATTTCATTTTCTAACATTTTGTGAAAAACGATATAAAAACAGTGTTGAAGTATAATAATAGAAAGTTAGACCCTACACAAACGTGACAGACAACTTAGCCACTTCTCACCACCGTCACAGGCATAATCGCAAGGTCAAAGCCAGATAAAATCAACTTTAGTTGAAAATAAAAAAATATTGTAAGAAAGATATGTTTAAAAAGAGTCTCAAAAAAGTAAAATTCTGAAAGAACGACTATTTTGAAATATGTTAGATAAGAATGTTACTGTTGCACGATCTATATCAACTTATGAGATGTGAGTATATAACTGAGGAGACGACAAACCTATTGTCACACCCACACACTTGACTCATTCATATTTACTCTGTTTTTCGAACTTAAAATATTAATTGAAAGATTCAATTTCGATCATTTTTTTGGTTTCATCAATGTGTGTACAATATTTTTTCTATACTTTATTTTTTGAATCTCACATAAACTATTCTGAAGTATTGAAAATAAATATAATTTATATTTAGATTGCTCGGGAAGCTGAAGCATGTTTATTTCATCGTGAACTTTTTGAAAATCTCCGTTATTTCACTAAACCACCATTGGTAATACAAAAGAAAAATCATACCGATAATACTTTTTTTGTTATATCTCAATATTTTTCTTAAGGATCAAATACAATCAACAGCCATTGCAGCAGTTGAAGCAGCTTTTCGAAGTTTTGCTTCAATTATTGTTGTTCTTACTCATTCAGGAAGGTAATATGATCATAAAATTTATTGATATGAAAACTAATGAAATTTCTCAATAGATCAGCACATCTTATTTCAAAATACCGTCCACGAGCAGTAATTATGGCAGTCACTCGATCAAAATATACAGCAAGACAATTGCATTTATATCGTGGTTGTTGTCCTGTGTATATTAAACGTAAATACTATTATATAGTAATGAACAAACGTCTCCACATCCTCCGATCTCGACCACTGAATGTATTGGTAGTCTGAAAATTTATACACACGCACTTCATTAAGAATGTAGGCCATTAGCAGAAGGGTATTGGTATTGCTTAATTGAAAAGGGAGTTATGACTTATGGCACTTGCTTTTGCTGTCACTCGTCTTCTTAATATGCAATACTATGTCCAAACTATCTATACTACTAGTTTAATTCGAGTTCATCGATCCTTTCAAAGACTATACTCGTTTTACTATCATCATTTATGTGCATAGAAACCGTCTACTGCCTTTTTGAGGTCAATGAAACAAGTTCAAACTTTTTCAGAAACTTCCTCTATAACAATCATCTACTAGCCTCAGAAGCAAATTTTGAAACAAAGAGAAGTAAAACATACATGATTATCTTGTTAGTCCTAAGGACTCCGAAAGACCGTTGACGAGACTTCAGATGCATCTGAAAATATCAAAAATTAGTCATAATTTTAGTAAGAAACAGTACAAAATTTTGTAAGTAATCTTTTTTTCAGGTTATCATGCTCAGAGGGGAAAATAGGCGTAGTCGACCATAATTCTCTTTGTAATTAAGTAATAAGGACGCTAAAACGTCAATATGGTTTGGTGGAAAACAGAAAAAGAAAGTACCGAAAATGAATTTTTTAAATAAAATTAACGAAAAGCAGAACTTTATTCGATCATATAAAAAAAAGACAATAGAAAAGAAAAAGCTAAGTGTATAAATCTCAATTCCATTTTTTCACTAGTTGTGGATGTGGGCATAGGTTTTTTCTTGATTCAGATACCTTCACTCATACGTACATCCGCACCCTTTCTTCTTCGTTGTTTTTTCTTGTCTTCCTCTATTTTCCTCTTCGACATTTTTCTTTGCTGCCAATCTGTACCAATGATTTAAGCATTTTCGGTGAAGTGCATGTACACAAATTTTCACACATGTAGTACAAATAATATCCAAGGCCTGCTGAAGGTGGAAGATTTTGTTCATTACCATAGCTGTATTACAATAATATAAATTTATATCTTTATTTTTCTTTTAGATCCTCGAAGTAAGTAATATACTTTTAGTGTTTCTTTTGTCGTTTTCTTTGATTGATATGTTGAGTAATTGTAGTTCTTTGCTAACTTTTCTTCTCTATTTAATCAGCAGCGTGTCAGGACTATAAAAAATATCGTAAGTTAATTGAATCGAGCATGCATTACATCGATATTTCTTAAAAACACTTTTAACTTCGTTGTATTGTTGATCTTCAGGTCAATAAATTGACGCTAATAATATTAAAAATTTTATATTCGTGATACATTTCGAAGAATAAATTTAGGTCCCGAATTGGAAGGAGACATCGAATTCAAACAACATAATATTTCAACAGTTCAAGCATTGGCTATGAGTGATTGGTTACTTGATGTTGATATACGTGTTGACGAAGCAATTAAATTTGCTAAACAACGTGGCTTTTGTTCAACCGGTGATGCTGTTATTGTTGTTACAGGATGGGTAAATTTCTTTTGCTTTATATCCGAATGATTTTTATTTGATTCGTTGTTTTTTTTCTAGCGCCCCGGTTTTGGCACAACAAATACACTACGTATTATTTATGCCGATTAAATATCTAATTCCACATAAACATGTTTTTCATTAATGTTTGTTTTTTTTTTAAAACAGATTTTGCCTTGCCTTTTGTGTTCTTTTATATCTGTTTTTTCTTAACGAATATATATATATATATCAGCATTTGGAAATAATTAGAAAAAAAAACTAATAAAACTAATGTAGATAAAGAAAATCAGAAAAGTAAAAGAGTGGATGATGCGTTTTAGTCAAATATTGTTGGGTTTTGTATAATTTCAAAATTAATATCAATGTCAATTTTTGTTATTTTACAATTAATTGAATGTATGTCTTCAAACGATTGTTTTATTTTCAATCGACGCTCATCGATATATTCAAAAGCAAATAAATGATGTTAAAGATATAAAATTTTGTAATGAAACTATTGTTAAACATAATTATAATTTATCTCAATATGTATATGATTGTCCTCAACATCAATATAACATTCAAATGATTGAACGATCTCCGTTAATTATTTATATAGAACACTTGTTAACTGACAATGAAATTCAACATTTAAATGGATTAGCGTCAGAAGATTTCTTTTTTAAACTATGACTACGAGAGAACCAACCAAATAGATACCCTCTATTTGAGTTTACAGTAGACCTACAAAAGGCTCCTTGCTGAGACTAGCACGAGTCTAAAAATGGTTCGTCGCCATGAACCTTTGAAGCCGACTTAGGCTCAGTATTTTATCTAGCGTGAGAGACTAGGAGGCAGCTTCTCTCTGAACATTGATTAGAAGTCTTAAGTCACCTCTTTAGAATAGAAAATCTGAATCAAATACTGGTCAGGATCGTTCTACTATATTTTCGATCCAACTTTTGATACATATTGGAAAAGAATTTAAAAAAACAAAATTTTGACGTGTGATTGTACCCATTGATAAATTGAATGACTCGTCGAATATTCTGAAAGCTCAGCCGAAAAGAACTTTTTATTGTTGAGATATCGAGTTTTCAAAAAAAAAAAATAGGCTTGCACAAGTATTATAGAAAAATCAAGTTTAATTGAAAACTTAATATCTCCACCAAAGAACATTTTTTTCAGCTGAAACTTTCAGGATATTCTATGGATCATTAGATCTATATATGAGCAAAACTTCACATTGGTTTCGGGTCAGAACCTTAAAATTTTGGACCTGATATACTCTAGACTTGACAAAGTTAGTTTATATGCAAACAGAGAGTAGCCTTTAACCGAATGTTTTTAAATGAACCTTTAGCATAATTCAAATGACATATTATTGGTTGATATTTTTTCCTTGTAATAATAAAAATATAAACATGAGAATCATCGATCAACTAGATATTTTTTGTTTAAAAAAAAAACTGAAAAACACTCTTATGCTAATTTAGTTACACAAAAAGTCTCGTATAGTTATTATATATTTATTGCCTATCACTTTTTATTAATTCATCAAGTCTTGTAGAAATTTTATCAAACATAACAAGTTATTGTTTATTTTATTCTTTGTTCAATTTAGTTTTTAGTTGTTTAAAACTTGAAAATCGTTCTCGTTAACAAATTTAGTCTCACCTTATTTAAGCAACAAATACGATTATTCAATAATTCAACAATAGTTCAATACACGATCTTTGTTTTTTATATTTCGTTCTATATGCAACATTTTCATATATTTTTTATCAAATTTAATCTGGTTACTGAGTATATAGTTTGATTGAAGATGTAACCAGCAGATCATTCAGGAGCGCCGAATAAACAAATAAGATTTACAATTGTTGATTTTTATTATGCTAATTTTTATTTAGAATTACTCAACATTTTATTAAAAACTCTTTAAAAAAATTGCGTTGAACGATTGCGAAACATTTATCCTCACATTCTCATGTTCATATTTTTATTATAACGAACATAGCTATTACCTAATATTATGTCATTTGAAGAATCGACACCGATAATGAAGTTTATATAAAAATATTCGGTTAGAACTTATTTTCTGTTTGTATATAAACTAATTCTACGGCACCCCAAGACCTATGAAACTCTCTATACCTAAAACTGACTTGAAAATCCAATCAAATGATTATGACTCGGCTTGAAAGGTTCATGAAGACGAACTCTTTTAAACTTTTATGAATCTCATCAAAGCGCCCTTGTAGGTCCAATATAAACTCAAACGACGGGTGTTAGTTCAGATGGTTTCCTCGTTAAAACAAAAAAGCAAAGGATTCTGATTGAATTTTAATTCAATCCTAAAATGTTAAATTTTCTCACGAAGAAACCTCTCCAGGTGTTCTATCACTTTTGGATCAAGACAAGATTTCAATTGATGAGTACTAGGAAACAACACAAAAGTCTAAAATGTTTCGATTTTCTGAACCTTGACTCTTGAGATATCAAAAAGACATATTCATATTTCTTGTGTTGATTATAACTTATCGAACGTGTTGATATTTTTTATATATACTTTCTCTATAGAAACTCAATGTTTGTACGCTCAGCAATTGTTCAAGCTAATGGATCATCATTTATTGATGATCATTATCGTACATAAACTACAGCATATCTTAGACGTTGTCAAACTTCAATTATAAAATGTATTGAACGACGATATGCACAATTTCAAGCTAATATTGATCCATTACATCTTGAACCTTTTGCAAGTTGTGAAATACGAAAATAATCAAGAGGTTTGAAATTTGATATAAAATAATACTTAGAATTATTTTATTTTTCTTAAAAGTTTAAACCTCATGTTGATTGGTTTTATCATGCAGATCAAATAATAAATGGTGGTCAACGAACGACAACATTTTTTACTTATCTATATGCAAATTGTTCTATGGGTGAAACAGAATTTATTAATATTAAATTTAATTTCTCATTACATTCACGTTTTTCTAATATTTTATCATGTGATGATATAGCGCCATATCGAGGTATTCGATTTCAACCAATACTAGGAAATAGTATCTTTTGGTTTATTATTACTAAAAATGAACATGCAGATAATGCATCGTTTCATGTAGGTCTTCCACCTGGTCAAAAAATAGGATTAAATACATGAACACGTGAAACAATTTTCGTTTGAAACAATAAGTACAAATAGACTAATTCCCGAGTCAAAAGTAAAGAAGGATGGATGTAAGTTCAATAACTTGATAATAGTAACAGTTAACATCTCGCACATTTCAGCAATTGAATGAGAGATTTTAATATATGATTTTCAATCAAATTATATAAAATTCTTTTGGTTGTCACCAAATTGTATCACTGTTTATTGAAATTTTCTTGAAACGAAACATTCTTTTTATAAATTTTTTCGATTATTTTGCGAGAGCAATAACTTTTTAAATAATTTTGTCTTCTATAATATCATAAAAAGATATCCGGAGTTCATCTTATTCAACTGCTCAAAATCACAGATCACTTGCTGTTATCATTTCCGAACTATTGAGGTTACACTCATCCGTCCTCTTTAATTCTTGTGCAGACTTTAGATATGTTTTTTCAAAACATTTTCTGTTTGCTTTCTCCTACTGAAGAAACTCTAAATTTGTTTTTTGTCTATTAATAAATAAATGAAAATATAGTGTTTTTCATCGTCAACATTGTCTCGCCTGTCAATCATTCACTAAAACTTCAAATTTTTCTTCATGACAATAACAATCGTAATTGATAAAGATTTTTCGTAAATCAGTTTTGAATAAATGTTACATAAAGCCAGGCTTTTCATAATAAGCAAAACAGCTATAAACCATCGACGCAGGATTCGAAAAACTCTGAATCTGGAGCAAATCACTTTCCTTGTACAAAATTTTTAATATAAATTTTACATTTTTGTTAAATCGTAAATCTATTTGATACTCTCTATCCGTTTATGTCGAGAATACGATTTCAGATTTTTACATTATCGCCATCTCTATTTTCATTTCTAAATATCATCTACTTTTATCTGTACATCACTCTTAAGCATATCAAAATCAAACTTTCATCTTTTTTTCTTCTTTCAACGACAAGATGTCTATGTATTTAGATGTATCAATTGTTATATTCATCATTTACTTGCCTCAAGGGTACCTCTCCCTCTTTCCAAGGTTTCTGGAGAGTGGCTCATTAGAAAAGTTTGAAATTTTCAGGGCATATAGATCTTGCCAAATGAAGCAAAATTTGTCATAGACTCAAAGTTCCTCAATGTGGTCTAGCCGAAAAACTGACTCCCCCGTTTCTGCAACGCTCTGTGTTTGATTGAGCTAAAAATTATTTTTACAGGCAATACACACTATTTGAGATGGATATTTTTTTTTCTTCGAATATAGAAGCTAAATTATTGAACATACTCTAAAAAATGCATCTTTTCTTAATAGAACTTTTTTCTAAGAGATACCAAAAATTAATAGCACAATATTTCTTTAAACAAAAAAAAAGTACTCATGTCCAACAATGTATAGTATATGTTAAAAAAAAAGTTTCAGTTCTATCGAACATACAAGGTCAGAGAAACAGTCTTCTCGCGAAAACATTACTTTTGAGAAAAACCCGCAACAATGTACAGTTTTTCGCTGATTTGATTTCTTCTGGAATTTTTTATATTTCAACATAATTTTTGATTCCAAAATATAATCATTAAGGAACTACCCAAACTAATACCTGCCGTTTGAGTTCATAGTAAGTTTATAAGGAGTTCTTGACTAATCCAAAAAAAATCATAAAAAGGGCCCGTGAGCACGAACTCTCTTAAGATCTGTTTAAGTCTTATCAATGCGTTCTTGTCAGTTCAATATGAGCTGAAACCTTGAGTATGAGTTCATGTAGTTTCCTCGCAAGTACTACTTAACACTATACAATAGCCATACAAAAAAAAACTAGGGTCACGAAAGGATGGGAAATACCCTTAATGAATAGATAATGACGAATAACCTAAAGAAAATTAATAACCATTTCAGTAATAAATAGAATCTCAAAATTCAATTTTTTTAGCAGCTGCTCATCATACCGATTATGGATGAAAGCTAAATGAATTGAACATAATTATCTAAATTATGATGAATAATATTCAATGATTGAAATGAAAAGCAAAGTCAATAGCCAATACGAATTTCTCTATTTTTTCTTCTTCCTGTTTCTTCTTTCATGAGATTTTTTTTTCTCTCTTTTCCTTTTCTTCCGTGTTCATTTTCAACCAATGAAATGTTAACTTCTATTACTTTCTTGCTGGGTTGCAAGATGACGACCATTCATCAATATTATTTGAAGTTGAATTCTATTTCTCACTTTTTTAACCTGTTGTACTCATTTCTTCTTTGTCGGCAACTGTGAAACATCAAATAAGACACGTTTAGTCAATTGTCTTCCTTAGCAGCCCATAACAATAATTATAAATTTCTTTTCTCCGATATATATATATATATACATATACATATCTATGGCACCACTTGTTTAATGCATACAACATGACATCAAATTTTCCAACTTGGTTCACTGAAACAATGTTATTACATAGAAATTCATTTGTATCTGAACAATCAAATGAAGATTTAGCTGCTGAACGTTTAAAATATTTACTTGGTATTCAATATTATGCTGGTTTATTAACACCACCATCAACAAAATCTGATAATATGAAAGAAGAATCTGAAGGTGAAGAAGAAGAAGAAGAAGAAGAAGAAGAAGAAGAAGAAGAAAGTGAAACAGTTATTGATTCAACAAATATTTTTTATAAGTGTCATGAATGTGAAAAAGATTTTTCAACATCACATGGCCTTGAAGTACATGTACGACGTACACATTCATCAGAATTACGACCATATTCATGTGATCTTTGTACGAAAACATTTAGTCATGCTTTATCACTTGTACAACATCGTACAACACATACACAAGAACGATGTTTTCAATGTAAAACATGTGGAAAATCTTTTAAACGTTCATCAACATTATCAACACATTTATTAATACATTCAGATACACGACCATATTCATGTATGCATTGTGGAAAACGTTTTCATCAAAAATCTGATATGAAAAAACATACATATATTCATACAGGTAATTCTTCTTTTAGTGACTTTCTCTATTATTTTTGCAATCTCAGTAAAAGCTTTAAATGATCAATGTCAATCAGTGAAATTAGCTCTGATGACATATCGATATCGATTTTTAAGAAAAAATGATGATGACGATGCGTGATACAATTAACCATATGTCATATTCTCCATAGAGAGAGAACGAGTGATGATGACCATTTTAAACATTGATAAGAGAACCTTGTTAAATATGCACACTTAAAGATGGAAAAAGCGTACTCGCCTAATAAAATGGCTAGTGACGTTGGCGCATGATTTTCACACATAGTCACTTTCTCTCGTTGTTCTCTTGAGATTAAGCGGATCCTATGTTATCTTTTTCTTTTTTTTTTTTGGTTTGTAAAGTTAAGATTATTAAAGAAAGTGAAGAAAAAAAAATTAATTTTTGTTTTTGGATTTAGGAGAAAAACCGCATAAATGTATTGTTTGTGGTAAAGCATTTTCACAATCATCAAATTTAATTACACATAGTCGAAAACATACAGGTTTTAAACCATTTCAATGTCATAAATGTTTGCGTGCATTTCAACGTAAAGTTGATTTACGTCGTCATATTGATACACAACATGGTGCCGAACATAATCATGATGATTTACTATTAAAAACAAACACAATCGAACAACAAACAAATAAGAATACAAATGAAACTGATAATTCAAAAAAAACTAATACAGGAAAATATGGACCAATTGGGTCATTAATTCAAGAACTTGCTGCTCGCCATTGAACTTTAAACAGAAACAAAACTATTGACTAACTGACTTCGCATGATTATTAGTATTATTTTTTTTTTTTCTTTTCGCTTTTTTTTTCATTTGTGTATAAATGATGATCCATATGTTGATGTGTCATATTGAAAGGCGGTGAATATCGAAAGTGTGAGCAACCATCTGGATAGATTCTATATGCGTAGAAGAAAAAAATCTTGATTGAAGTGTGCTAGGTACTGCTTTATTATGCATCACAAATCTAACACGAGACGGAGAAGATTATTAATCTCACATTGATTCTGTGACAAGAACTCATTTATAAACTTATTTTATACACAATAACATGTCTATTAATCACAGAACAATTGTGAACTAGTTTTCTTTTTTCTCCTGATATTGACGTCTTTTGCTTTTTCTATATTTTAATGGTTTTGGTGTGTTCATTTCATATGCGCGTCATCTTCCTTAATGATAATTTACAATATGAAAAAAAAAAGAAAAATAAAATAGATGCTTGAGGCATAATACATATGAATTGTTCGTATCGCGGCTCAAAATCAAAAGATTACTCCTCAGCAGGTGTTGAACATGAGCATACGTGATCATCACTTTCGTTACAATATGGTGAACTGTTGCTGATCGAATCGTGAAAAAATTGACAACTTGTCTTTTTCTTTTTTTTTGCATCCTTCAGGCTATCTGTATAGACAAAAGACGACAAAAAATAAAATAAAATAAAATGAAATATAAAATGCCAGTTGGTCTTTCTTCCTTCTGGGTAAATAAAAATGAAACCTTGTTGAATTAACAAAAATGATAATTAAGAATTATATTTCTAAAATTGATCTTTCATTTAGCATAGTAATATATATATACATCCACTCAAGAGAAAAGTCGAACCTTGAGAGAGGGTATAAATATGATGACAAAATCCACACGTTGTGTTGAACTCATCTTTCATTATCCGCTCGTTCATAAAAAGCAATCATCGACGATTTGAGTCCCTTGTGTATGTCGAACAGCTAAATTTCTTTTTTTGGCTTACAAGATAAAATCGTGTGTTTTTTTTTCCTTCTTGCTAAGAAACATAAGGAAAATGAAGATGGAATATGTCACATTTGAGACTAGTGATGGTACGACAGTTTGATGTCGAGAAGGGCCAGTGATTAGGTTAATCAAACGCTTAATAAAACACGATGATTACATTTGCTCGTCGACTCTGATAATGAAATGCACAGAAATAAGTTTGTCTAATCAATTGATTAGTTTTC